TTATTATTCCTTAGTCTACTCACAAAGGAAAGCTCATCATTAAAACTTACTGGGTGCATGACTACAACAACATAGCTTGCCTCATCACTATCTCCCTTTCTTAGATTACTAAACATCTGCATGCATTCTTCTAACTTTGGGCACTTTTACTAGTACTGCTTATAATCTCATAACTCACACTATCTTTTCAGGTGAAAATACAACCCAAGCTCCACAACACATCCTCCTAGGGATCTCAACTGACACAAGGTTTAGAGAAGAGAGTGCATCTCGCTTTTAGCTCAAATGCACTATTCATATGGATAAGAATGCATTCTTTTAAATATAAACACTTTAGCTCACTCGCAGGCTTCTCTCTAGCCCCTCTACAGTCTCATGATATTCTCAAGACTTTTGCTAAGAGTAACTCATCGATAAGGATTTGGGCTTTGCTTTTAAACTACCTTGAGCATGAGGGGTAGTTTAAAGGATCTGAGAAACGCACGAGTTTGAATGAGTTCTTTATGACATAGTTCTATTGCATGATTTTAAGTATGAAACAAGGGAAACTTTTTTTAAATGTTTGTATTCTCTCATTTATAGAAGTGGGTCCCTCACAACCATAAATAATATCCTACCAACACGGCTTCATAGACACCCTAGGACACTTGAACTCTGTGCTCTAAGACCAAGTTTTTCACGACCAGAGTCTACACCCAAGATGTGGCTGGCACTTGAGAACCATTGTTGGTCCCCACGCGAACCCTCATCGTGGCTGACTACAAACGGAAGACTAACTCAAGCATACATAAGCTTAAAATTGAATTAAATTCTTTAAACTCAAATACTCAACTCATAAAGTCTGAACAATACTCAATAGATATACTTATAGTTTGTAAAACAACTCAAAAGAAAGTAAATACAAAAAGACACCTCGACTCTGTCTATCTATGAAGCCTCTGCTATTACAGAAAGATATCAAGACAAGACCCACGACATCTTAAAACTACTAATTGTTAGGTGAAGTCCTCAAGAATATAAGAAGGCTCACCAAAGCTGACTGGAATGTCAAATGACCTGAAGGAAACGCCTGTTAATGATCCTGAACACCTTTATCTACATCATAAAACGATGCAGGTCAAATGAAATCAGTACATTGAATGTACGAGTATGTGATAAGGTTAGAGTACATAATTAACTGCTTGAATGACGGAAAGAATAACTAACTGAACTGACCAGGCTTGAAGAAATACTCACCTTAACTCAACTCAATGATAGATGCAATATTTAAAACATTATAAAACATGAAATAATACTTAGTGATGTATCAAAATACAATAAAATACTCTATACTCTTACTTGGGAGATTCTCTAATAAAAAATCTTCACTATGAGCTACGTGATGATACAACGTCACACCCACGCTACCAGAACTCTCTTATACCTTTCTGGGGTATAGGATACCTCAACTAAGTGGATCCACTAAGCTCTATCCGAAGGCACTTAGGATTCATCTAAAAAGTATGATCATGTACCCATTTTGGCATACATGATTTATGAGGAATGTGAGTTGTCTGTACTCATCCTCAAATTGGTGCTCAATACTACTCCCAATAATATATACTCATGCTAAATGTTTAAAAACATACTCTTCATATAGTTTGAGATAATTGCTCAAACTATCCTCTTAAAAGAGGTAACTTCTCATGAAAAATCTTTGAACTCGTAACTCATTTGGAAATCAAAGTTTCTCTTTTATCAATGTAAAAACAGATGCCTTTGGGGTTACTTAGTTCCCTTATACTCGTACTCAATTCATACTTGAAAACTCTTTCTCAAAAATATATCAAATTCATACTGTGATATGATCATTAATGACTCGGGAAGTCATACTGCATAAACATTGATGGTATATCAGATACCATACTGCTTAAAGATTGATGGCATACTCGATTGTCACACTAATCATGTTTTAGAAACTCTTTCTCAAAACTCATCTTTACTTCCTCAAAAACTCAGTTTAAAACTCAAGTGTTGGCTTTAAAAAGCTTCTCAAGATTTATAACTCAATTCATAGGGTTCATGCGGAATTATGGACATGAGCGACACAATTCAGGGATCTTAATAGCAATATGGAAACTCAGAACTCAAGGACTCAGCTATTCAAGAACTCGGAACTCAGAATTAAACGATACTACTCCTCTCAAGAATACTGAATTCATAGAGTTCATGCCGAATTATGGACATAAACAACTCAACTCAAAAATCCCAATGACAATATATAACTCATTAGTATAACTTTTCTCATTCTCATACTTACTTCCTCAAGACTTAGTTCAAAACTATGGCTGATTTCAAAAGAATTCTCAAATTTCACTCAGAGGCCCCTCTTGAACTTTCCTCTTAATCTCTCTTTATTTTGAAATGTAATTTAAGAGATATGATTAGGATATCTTGGATCTTTAAATGATTAATTAAGACTTAATTAGTTAATATCAAGGAAAGAACGAAGACCCAATTCAAAGGAACGCATACGGAATGACAAATGGAGAAGAAAGAGGTCGGATGACCATGGTGTATCGATGGCGCATCACGCCTGCCCCCAAAGTACTGGGAGTAATTTGGGGCACACTACAGGCACATTTCCCCAGCATTCCTGGCGCTATGGGGGCACATTGCCCCAGCCCGGACCCAGAAATCCGATGTATTTTCTTGTTAACTTTCTGGTCCTAACTAGTCTAGAATCGATTGGTTTCTTCCCAACTCTCTTTGATTAGTAAAACCAATACAAATTCATTGAAAATTCTATCAAGAAACACCACGCATTCGTAATACCCTCACCTCAAGAACTCATAACCTCCATTGATAAAGAATGGGGATAAAACTCAAGAACTACTCAAGAATCTTCACATAAACAATTTCATGAATGAATTAATGGAAGAACTACATGATTGACGTGAGGAAGAACAATTCCATCACTATGGAAAGCCTCACATACATGGAAAGAACCATGTTCTTGGTGAAAATCAATGAATCTTAAAGAACGCTTGAAAAACTCGCTTTTCTCCTCTTGAAACCTCACTCTAAAAACCCTAAGTGTTTTGAACGTGAATGGGTATTTTAGAATTTGATTACACCCTTAATTGGGTCAGAAAAAAAATGTTAAGACAAGTGGGGAAAAGTAAAAGACCAAAATACCCTTTCCTAAAATGAATGGAAAGCCTTAAATGGAGAGGCTTCACTCAAACAGGCATAACTTTTTACTCGAAATTCAAAATTTAGCAAATTTGGTGGTGTTGGAAATAGAACTCAAAGACCTTTTATTTGGTAGGTCATGGGCCACTTAACTCATTATTTTTTAAAAGATATGGTCAATTTTGAAGTTGACCCAAGAAAAATCTCATAGTGCAACTTAGTCAGAAAGGAAGTTTTCAACTCAACTTTATGCTAGGGGATTCTAGTGACCTTAACTTCTAAGAAAATTTAAAATCACTCGGTACAAATCTTATTCACCATAAAGAATTACTTAAGTCTTAGTCTTAGAAATTTTCGGAATGTTACAGTTTTTTAAAATAAGGAAAATGAGTTTATGGAAAATACAACATTTTCAGGGTTTTTATGACTTAAAATTGTAAAATACCTGGTTTATGAGATTTAATGTATTTTGGGTTTATTTCTACGTTTATAAGTCTGAGGTATCATTCAAGGCAACCCATTAACTCAAATCCAGGCTACATTCTTCTACATGGTATGTTGTTGATATTTATCATGTGTTATTCTAGGGGTCCACTGCTTTCATCTGGGTTATATTCCACCGCATTGCACTTCTTGATAAGCCCGAGGTATCATTCTGGGTGACTCGAGGTATCTTCCGAGCTTCTACTTCCCAACATTTGTCTCTTGCATCGCATCATCCTGATGTTTGGTTTGTTGTGTGTGTGTTATGACTGTCTTGTACCTCAGTGTTTCCATATTCACTTTCCTGTGTTTTTATTTCCTTTTCCCTCGATTATTGGCTTTCATTTCTTAGAACTTATCCATTGTAATGTTAGAAATTTGTGCCTCTTCATATATTTGATCTTTCTAAGCTCGGTCGGCTTATGATGCCTACTGAGTATGCCGTGGTTTGATAGTCATACTATTGTTCTACATATTTTTTTGATGCAACTCTTAGTACGAGCCACCCTCATTAAGCGTCGAATCTCCCGTGAATGTCACAGACTCGGATCGTGGTGAGCTCCTTCCATCTAAAGACTTTCTGCTTTCTCTCTTTTTTACTAACTTGTATTTTGTATTTTGATTAGTTAGTTCTCTTATATATATATATATATATAGCATTTCTGTACTTAGTTATTCCTGTACCGGTGACACCAGGTCTGGGGATTTAGTTCTTGTGTTACTTTGTCGTTCTTGGTCACTTTTAGGCCTCTTTTGTATATTGTGTATCATATTTATTTTTCTTTCATATGGTTCTATTTTGTATCTTTATTCCTATTTTCTTTTTTTCTTTATCGTGATATTCTTATCTTCTGTAAATTTGTTTTTTTTTGCTTGCCTACTGATGGATGATAATTTTCATCACGGTACGATTTCAGGTCATGACATAGACTTTGCTTAGTATCTTTGTATATGATATGAGATGTATGATCTTAAACAAAAGGTACATGGGATTATCTTTGACTTCTCCTTTGTCGCTAATCCCACACACTTTAAAATAGAAAAAAATATTTATTGTGCATTAACTGTAAAGTAAATGTGGATAGGCTGGGGTAGGTAGATACCCCTTTAAGTCTCTCTATATAATTTGCGAAATTGGTTCACTTTTCTTCAGCCCATCCCTTGATTTTTAATGTCATGTCCACTAAAACATTTCTTTTGCTCATCTACTTCCTCCATAAGCCAACCCCCCTCTTTGGATTCTTTTTTTCCTCTCTGCTTTAGCAGAAAACATCATTAGTTTCTCTTATAAGCTCATTTTTATTTTTTGCATTTAACTAGATATCATTATATATAGATCTAAAATGGGGGATGATGATTGGGATATAGGTGCGGTCGTAAGAAGTTGTAATATTAATAGACCTAACAATGTTGTAGCTCCTAAGTTAGACTTGGAGACTTCTCTAAATGATGTTTGGAATTCTTTTGACAAACTTTTGGCTCATGACATGACTAATTTTAATGGCTTATCTGAAATTTTCTCTTTAGATTTTCCAACTGCTCACCAGGAAAAACCAGATGATCAGGTCATGATGATGAACCAAAATGGTAACCAGCAGTTGTACTTACATCCCATTCAACCTGCTCAATTTATCCAACAAAGCTCTTTTCCTCCATCACCAACAACAGTAGTGTGTGTGCCACCAACAACTACAACACCAAAAGAATGGGTTGATCTACAACAACTCGATATAGGGGCTAACATTTATCCTAATTTCACTTTTTCCATGAAGACTCCTTTGATCCAAACTACAACAAGGTAACCACTCACTTCGTTACATTTTATGTATGTGTGTTCAAAATTTTGATTTTAGTACTTTTGATCTGAAATCAGGAAAAATCAGTCGATAAGGATTACCTATGAATTATTGCAAGAGGAACTCACAAATGATATATGGATATGGCGCAAGTACGGTCAAAAGCATATCAAAGATTCACCATTTCCGAGGTTTGCTCTCTTCATCATTTTTTCATGTCATAGAATGTTATGTTCCCTTCCGTTCTCAATTTTCATAACAATAAGTAGTAAAAATTATTAATGGTGTATACACATGTAATATTTGACTAAACCTGATTATTAATATTATTATGTGTACATGACATAACAGGAATTACTATAAGTGTAGCACATCAAAACTCTGCAAAGCAAAGAAAAAAATTGAGAAAAGCCCAAAGGATGAGAACATTTTCTTGGTGTCCTATTCCGGTGAACACAACCATGATCCACCCACGAACCGTAGTAATCTTGATAGTTGCAACAGTAGTTTCAAATTTAAGCTTCCAAAAGGCATAAATATTGTGCCCAAAACATCAACCTTGAATGCATTATCCTCCTCATCCAAGCGTGTTAGGCGTTCAAGAGTTGTTGCTTCTCCAATTATCGCAACTATGCCTCCACTTGAAATCGGGAACAAAAATAAAATGATTGTTGCGGCCGTGGAGGACAAAGGTGATAGTAAAGAAGAGGTAGACATGAATGAAGATATTCTCATGGGCTTTTTTTAACTCCAAGGAGTTACTGCTTCCACCTAATAGTATGAAAATGACAAGAGGAATTGATCTTTCTTCCCTCTCCACCAACTCTTTATGTTGACATATGTGGTCTTCTAGTCATGTTTCTATTGTAGTATTTAGTGTGGGAAGTCAAGAATTATATCTCTGTAGTTTTCTATGTTTAACCATTTACATCATAGAAAAATGGATCTTTTTCAGTTTCGTTATTTTCAATTGTTCTTCAATTAAGGAATCTAGTCATTGTTGTAAGTTGTTGCTCCATTTTCTCAAATAGTTCTCTCTTTAAGAAACCTCGTTTGACTTAATTTCTACATTAAATTATATGGAGTAGTAAATTATCGTTGTTCAATTAAGAAGTTTTATACACACACTAAAATTTATTTTGTAAATAAAGATCTTTTGTAAAACGAACATAAATAATTAACCTAGATTTATATTATATATATAAGAGGTGTTACTAAGAGTTTTGACGCAATGCACGTGTGTAAAAACTAGTATAAGTTTTTATGAATAGTGAATATAAACTTTCTTATGATTACTACTGAAAGTTAGCCAATCATAAAATCTCTTAGTTATACCTTTAAATTGTAACATCCCGAAAATTTCTAAGTTAAGACTCGAACCATTTTTCATTTGTGAATAGAATTGTACCGAGAGACTCTTGATTTTTCTTAGGTGTTAAGGTCAATTCTTGAGTGCGGGAATGATGTTGGATATGAATTAAGGTCACTAGAATCTCCTAGCACAAAGTTGAGTTGAAATCTTTCTTACTGATTGAGTTTCAATATGAGATTTTACTTGGGTAAAGTTCAAACGATCATAAATCTTAGCACATAAAGAATTTGGTGGCCTATGACCTATTAAATTAAATAAAGATCTTTGAGTCCTCTTTCCAACTCCCCTAAGTTTGCTTCATTTCAAGCTTGCAGTAAAAAGATTCCGTTTTAGTGAAGCCTTCTTTTTAAGGCACCTAAATCGTTTTTAGATGGGTAGTTTGGTTTTTGGGAAAAGGGCTCAACTTTGTCATTTGGAGCTGATATGCCCCTCGTTATGAAAGTGGCTCATATATACCCTTACCGTTATACAAACGACTCACATATACCCCTACCGTTAAAAAATGAGCTCACATATACCCTTCATTTAACGGAAGTGAAAAAATTAGTTTTAAATATATATTTTTGACTTTTAAATTTTCTTAAAAATTATTTAGGGGTATATATGATTCTTCTAGCAAAGTTCAAGGTATATTTTTAATCCTTTTTCATACATAAATTATTGTTTGACTTCTTTTATTATAATTATTTGAGTTTCTTATTCTTATTTTATTTTTTTCTTTCATTCCTTAGTGTAAAGAAAAAATTTAAAACTATTTTTTGTGGCTATATTATAATTAAAAACTATTTTTTTGTCTATATTGTAATTTAATTTTTGTATTTGAAGAAAAAAATTGGTCATCTATAATAAGTTTTACAAGAATATTAGTGAAACATAAATAAATTTGACCATCAAAATAATAAATCTAAATTAGTCATTAAAACAAAAAAAAAGTCAAAAAAAATATATATGTTTGAGGAGGATTAAATATACTCATATGGTATTATATTTTTTTTTAAAAGTAATACTAATAAATTAAACTAAAATTAATTTTTTTATTTCCGTTAGAGGAAAAGGGTATATGGGAGCCATTTGTATATAAGTAGGGGTATATATGAGTCATTTTCATATCGAGGGGTATATCAGCTCTAAATGACAAAGTTGAGGGGTATATCAAACCCCTTTCCCTTGGTTTTTAGATGTGAAAAGGTGTCAAATTTTAATATAATATAAAACAAATAAATAAATATAATATAGTATAATATAAAATACATAATGTATACTAAATTGGGTGTTTGAAGTTAAGGTATTATAATAATTTAACATTCAAGTTAGAGATTTCATACTTTTAAGGTATACATAACATAATATAAATAAATAAATAGATATATAAGTTTCCCTTTAATATTAGTGGGAAAAATGAAGCAACATTTGACTTGGTCATCAATTATGATCAATATTGATAACATATATACCTATATACAATATAAACAACCATAGTGTATACATAATATACATACTCATCCATATTTATTAATTAGATGGCTGAATAATTTTTACCTAATTTTCACTTTAATATTAGTGGGAATAATGAAGTAAAATTTGAGTTGGTCATCAACTATGATTAGTATTATTTTTTTTGGGGGGTGTTCTAGTTTGATAGAGAGCCCTATGTACGGATCAAGAAAAAATGAATCTCTATCCACTGAAAAAAGATTGGACAATTTACAATCTTTAGACTCAACTTAATTTTTTCAAACTCTCAACTTTACCGTGTGAAAAGTAAGCGGGGATCTATTTCATTTTTAAATCCCAACATCACAGAAGGCTTCCATATTTTTTGGTTTCGCACCCGGTGTTCATTACCCACATTAAAGTCCAACTAAATCCAAATTTACGCCGAAAAATCTCACATTGAAGTCCAACTAAATCCAAATTTGCACATAAAACACTCTAACAAAGACAACTTTGTAACCAGGGGGACTTAAAACCCGAGCCCTCTGGTTTAGAATAGATGAGTATATACCACTCCACCACAACCCTTGTTGGTCTCAAAAGGCTTCCATTATTAGAACATAAAATGTCGTCCATCTCACGGTTCGTAAACAATCTCCTCACAAGCTGGGGTAAAAAGGAACTCCAAAATCCCACTTCATCTAATTCATGATAATAGGACCTTCACATTGTTTATGATGATAACAATATCATCCATTACAGAACACCTCACTACAACCAATATTCGTTTCCAATAGCTGGAGAACTCAAAATATTAGATAATTAGAATATGAAAAGGGTCAAGAATATCCTTGACTTATGACAAAACGGCTCAAAAATAGTCACTTTCCACCTTTTGGTCAAAAAATACCCTCAATAACCAACCAACAACAGTTGTTTCCAATAGCTTCAGAAACAAAACGAAGTGACACGGCCTGCTTCAAGACCTGTCACATTGCTCATCTGAAAAGGGGCCATTTACCAAAAAAATATTGAGTAGAATAGAGTGGCCACAAACGTTTAACATTTGCTGTACTCATAGAGAATCTCCAGCACATTTACATTTCTGAACAGAAAACCCTCGAGAAAAAACAAAAATGGAACACAAGTAATCTGTGGCCTGCAATAAAACTAGCCACAAACTGTATGTATTGATATATTATATAAGATTGTTTCTCCATATGTCCTAACTAGCATGGTGAATAAGTAACTTGAAGATTCATGATCCCAATACAAAAGCATGTATCTCAGCCCAGCTAGAGGCAGTATAGAGAACACCAGAAAGTCCCGTCCAACTTGATGAGTCTGACACAGCGTGCATCTTCTGTTTCTGGACAACACCTGGAAAAAGAGGAACAAAAGAAACACCAAAATGATTCCCCACCCTCCTCAGACTTGAGCTCGAACCAAGCACAATGCCAACATCTGCTTCCAGCAAGCAAAGTAAGTCACCAACTGAATCCCCTATATATACTGTCAGATTCTTTTTGTCGTTGCGACAGTTCATTAGAATTTTACTAAAAGCTTGAACCTTGTCAATGGGGGATTCAACTTTCTTAACAATTTCACCAGTAGATAGAGATTCTTGAAACATCAACTCATTGGCATGTATATCTAGACCATCTATGCCCCCTGTTCAACACAAGACAGGAAATAGATAACTTATTTATAAGCCGAAAAGGCAGGAAAATATTTAACATCTCACTGGAAACTAAAAACTGACAAGCATTGCATAATTACAAATGATAAGGGAACTGTCAACTGTCAACTAAGACCAACCATAGCAAAAATAAAAGAGAGCTCATGTGATCGATGATCTTTGAGACCCAACTAAAGATTATAAGCACACCAAAACTTCTCTTCCAGACTAAGAGAAGAAATCATTGACAATGTTAACTCTAGTAGACTTAAAAGGAAAAGATAACTCAAAAAGGGAGGAGAACACATGACACAAAATAAGAACAGGGGAAACCAAGGTAAATTTGAAAAACAAGGAATGATCAACTTTTTCCTCCACTCTTTTTTCCATTTCCCCCTTCCTTTCTTCTTTTTCTTTTAGAAAGTTGTTTCCTTTCCCATGGTACAAGAAAAGGATAGCGGGTGGAAGCAAATTGGCATGATAAAGAGGGACAAATGTCACTTAGCATCCAAAAAACATTCAGCAAATTTTCTAGCATATCCAGGTGCAACTAAGAAATAAGAAGACATTGAAGTAGTCATGAAAAGGTAGGCAGACCATAACAATCAACTTGACAACAATAATATTCGCAGATCTAGCATATACAACTGAAACATGATGATTAGTGCACATATGTTCAAGCTGAAGTTCCATTTTACTAAGTTGTCATTATCAATGAAATACCTGATGAAAAAGAAGACCTAATAAGGTCACCACACCAGCAATAGGAGAGGACATGAATGTCTGCATTCAGATTTTCATTTCTTATTATGCTCTCGAAAAAGTCGGTGCAACCATCCTGGAGAATCAATTGCTGCCCAGCTCGTTTAATGTCTTCAAGGTTCAGACCTTTCAGTACCCCAGATTCAACTACCCTACTATTCGCCCTTTTCTCAAAATCAGAAAGTTGCTCAACCATTCTACAGAGTCTTCCGTAATCAAATTTTTCCGCTGTAAAAGTAAGATTCTTAGAACAGTTCATCCCAGCCGATCAGTAATATTATGACATAGGGAGGTTGGAAAACATCAAAAGATTAATTAAACAGTGTTACCTTTTTCAGTAAGTAACATCTTCTCTATACATTGCTCATACTCTTCCGTGTACTGCTTAGAGAGATCTCCCCATGCATTCTTTAAATCAGCCAACGACATCCTTGAAATTTGATTCTCTGGCTGATTTTGATCAGATTTTGGTGCTGTTATAATTGCAATTTCAGCCAAGATG